CCTGCACTTTCCCGGGCCTCTAGGCACACCTCTGGCCAGGTGCATGTGCCCCGGAAGACCATAGTTAATGTCATAGTTTAGAAGTAAAATGTCCCCCACAGACTTGTGTCCCCCATTGGTCACCAGATGCTGGTACTGTTGTGGGAGAGTGTGGGTCCTTAAAAGGTGGAGTCTAGCCAGGGGCAGTGGGTTTGAGGGGTGTGCTTTGAGCTTTATGCCAGGGGCAGTGGGTTTGAAGGGTGTGCTTTGAGCTTTAGAGTTTATCTCTGTTTTCTGTCCCATGTGCTTTGAGGAGGTGAGAGTCCCAACCTCATTCTGCCATGGTCACAGAACCGCCCGTTCCCAAGCCTTCTACACCATGATGGATGAATACTCTAAAATAGTAGAGTGAAATGAACCCCCTTAAGTTACTCCTTCTCCTATATCTGGTCACAGGGACACGGAAACTACATAACACAAAAACTGGCTTATTTCTGGCTCTTACCTGACTCTAAGCTCCTACAGAACAAAGCTATGAAGCATTTGGCTTACACTTCCTACTCAACACAGTTCCAAGGACATCCCAGGTGTTTTGGAGCTAGGCACATGTTCTGTCCTTCTCTCGACAGAGTGAGCTATGGTCCCTTCATGGTTAAAGAAGCTTTGTACTCTTTTTATAAATGTCACTGTGTGAAAGACTCTCTCCACAGACTGAACAAGGAACACAGGGATAAGGAGTGACATTGACATCTAGGTCAGAGCAGATGAAAGCTTCCATCAGAAGGCTCCACAGTTTTGCAGTAACACAATAACCCCGAAGCAAATAACTTAGCAAACTGTCTCCAAACTGAATCACTGTCCTAGTCAGTCAGGGTCACTACTGCTGCGATGAAACACCATGATCAGGAACTCAAACAGAGCAGGAACCTGGAGGCAGGAGCTGATGCAGAGGCCATGGAGGGGTGCTGCTTACTGGCTTGCTCCCCATGTCTTGTTCAGCCCATTTTCTTATAGTACCCAGGACCACCAGTCCAAGGATGACACCACCCACAATGAACTGAGTGTTCCCCCATCTATAACTATAATTTCATGAAAGTAAGAAGCTAAGTGTGTCTTATTCATTGTCACTCTGCCTTCTCTGTGGTATATGTAGGTATTCAGTCATATGGAAGCAAAGCAGACAAGGCAGAAAACACAAAGAAAGGAAGCAGAAATCACATGCAGTTAAATCAGAGGAGTGAGGCCCACTGTGAGCTGGTGAGGGGCTGCTGTGTGAGGGCAGGGAGATCTTACAGGCTGTATAGTCTAGGAAGTGAGGCCCACTGTGAGCTGGTGAGGGGCTGCTGTGTGAGGGCGAGGGCAGGGCGCTCTCACAGACTCATAGTCAAGGAAGGACAGAAGAACCGGGCCAGTTGAATTGAACATGGAAACCTATAATGAGGTCTGAACTGGGCTGAGAAGAAGGAGAGAAAGATGGCTCAATTAGAAAAATGCTTCCCAATGTTCACTTCTAGCTAGTGGGCACATGTCTTAACTCTGGCTCTGGGAGGACAGAGACAGGAGGCTCCATGAAACTCACTAGACGGCCAGTCTAGATAAACCAATAAGGTCCAGGTTCAGGCTCAAATAATAAGATGGAGAACAACTGAGTAAGACGCCTGAAGTTGAACTCTGTCTTCCACGCACACATGCACTCACATACACGCAGAGAGACAGAGATGAGCCGGGTGGGGGGGGGACAGAGCAGCAATGACACCGGTCAGAGAGCACTGAGGAGCACAAGCACCAACACCTATAGCCAGGACATGGGCACCGCTCCATCTAAATCGCCATGTGAAAAAGCAGCCGTAGTGCACCAGCCTTGCAGGCTCTAGGAGTAGAATGAACACTATGTCCCAGCACAGAAGTAGGTGTTCCCAGCTATGATGCCTAGGACTCATCCCCTATTCTGCATAATTCCAAAGAAGTGCAGAGACCCTTGTGCTGCAAAGCCCACTGGGAATAGTTAGAAGGATCGTGCTTACAGTGACTAGGTGCATTCTGCTGCAGTACTTTGGTGTGCAATCCTATCACTGCAAACTCATTGTAGGCAATTACTTCAGGCCTGAAGGAAATTTCCTCTAGTAAACAGTTTTCTATCCTTCAAAATGATGCATCTTGAAAAGATATTTTTATGTCACTGCTCTACTGAAGCTTCCCTTTAAAACAACTCTAAACTTTGAAAGTCTGTGTTCTCTAAATCAGCTTTTAAGTTGTCACTGATGGCCTTCCTCTTACAAGTTTGTGTACTCCAGCAGTGGCCAGAACGGGTTCTGCAGAAGGTGAGCAGTGTGTTCTCAGTGGACACTGAGAACTGGAATGAAATCCCCACCTTAGATCAAAGAAAGAGGATTCATGCTTTTTGTGAGAGGTTTCCAAGTCCTTTTTCAAGATTTGAACGCAGTCTTATAAACTTATGAGCTTATGAAATTCCAGAAGTTTGATCATAAATCATGTGTGAAAGACAGAACTACTTCCCTACAGCAAGACTTGTATATGCAAAAGTTGGGGTCTCAGGACAACCTACAAATGCTTTTCCATAGACAGCAAGCAACACAGCAGTCCCCATGCTCCCACCCTCTGCTTATACAAATCAGACAGATTCCAAGACCTCCTCCTATGAACATGTGAACCCACAGATGGTACCAGATCCTACAGATCATATACAGGACAAGGGACTAATAATTTTAAGAAAGTAATGTCAGAAAATGATGTGACTTTTACATTTTCACTTAATGTAGCAATCACTTTTCAGCTTCAGTAAACTCCCAGTGCTATTACTTGTGTATTTGAGGGCCTTTATTACATTACATATGCACTGCTATACTGAGACAGTCAATTTGAACATCAGAGCAGCTGCTTCCTGACTAACAAGACTAAGTTACACAGCACGGAAACTCTGGAAAAGGTATCATTAGTACCAACACAACTTAGAACTTGCCAGGTCACCAAAGCCACGCAAAGTCAACCACAGGAATTAGTGAGGTGCTCAGCAGGTAAAGGCCTTTGTCAAAGCCTGACTGCCTAGTTCCAGCCTTGGGCCCCACATGGTAGAAATGGGAAAGAACAGACTCCACTCCCACAAGTTGTCCTCTGACCTCCAGGTGAGTACTGTGGTATGTATGACCCCCCACACACATACACACAGAACCAACAGTTAAAGTGATATTTGCTTTTTTCAGATACATTGATTATATATGTATGATTGTTTTTCCTGCATGTATGCATGTGGGGTGTGTGTGTGTGTGTGTGTGTGTGTGTGTGTGTTTCCTAAAGAAACTAGAAGGCGGCATTGGATTCCCTAAAACCTAAGTTAAAGATGGTTGTGGTATTTTGGTTCTGTTTGTTATTTTTGTTTTGATTTTTGACTTTAATACTGGTTCTATGAGATAAGGTCTCATATAGCCCCAGCTAGCCTCTAACTCACTATGTAGGTGAAGATTACTTTGAACTCCTGATCTTTCTGTGGTGCTAGGACCACAGGTATCCAGCATCACATGCAGCACGGAAAAGTTACTCTCAATAAACCTGTTGCATATCTCTTACACTTTACCAGATTCAATGCCATAACCATGGAGACTGGAGCTCAAGCTGTGAAGGATTTCACACATCTCAAACTCTGCCACAGACACGTTCCAGCGCCTATTGCATCCAAGGTGGCCTATTTCAGGCAAGTGTGTACAGATTCATGTCCAGAACTAACCCACTAAACTGTTCTTTATTTCCACTCAGTATAACTATTAGCAAGAGCTCATTCTTTATCCATAATATAAACACAACCACAAAAACATATACCGTTGTCTGTTTTAAGCTTTAAGGTCCATCACTTCCATATATAATTCATGTGATATGCATTGAAAAACAGAAAAGATAGACAATGTATTATTTTAAGCAAGATCTGAAAATAGCACCTCTTCTAAAACCATCCAGTAAATACTCCTTGAATAATGAATATAATCTCACATTCTTCAAATACTGCACAATTAGACTTTTTACTGTATATGACTTTCCTGGAGTGATCTAGTTGGTAGTATGCTTAAGTAAAATGAAAGACTATGTACAGTAGAAGGTTAATATAAGGTAGGGGTGGCTTTCAAGCATCACAATGGCTGAAGCTGTAACCCAGTGGCAGAACAAAAAGAATCAAAAAGGCACGGTGACACACACTTCTAGTTACTCTGGAAACCCAGACAGAAATTTAAATTCAAGGGAAGCCTAAGCTACAACAATTTGAGGCTAAACTTAGGAAGATCCTGTCTCCAACATAATAAGTAAATCAATAAGCAAATAGATAGATAGAGAGGGGGGAGAGAGAGAGAGATAGAGACAGGGAGTGTAACTCAGTAGCAGAGTTACTTGCTTAGCAGCTGTAAAGCCTTGGGTTTAAACCTTAGCACAATAAGAAACAAAAATAATAAAACAAACATATTTTTGAGCCAGGCATGGAGGCACACACCTTTAATACCAGCACTCCAGAGGCAGAGGCAAGCAGATCCCCATAAGTTTCCAGACAGCCTAGCCTACATAGTGAGTTTCAGAACAGTCAGGATCATGTAGAGAGATCCTGCCTCAAAGAAATCAAAATTGAAGACACAGCAAGTCCAACATGGCTACTGCTTGTCTGTTAGAAAGCCCCAGAAAGTGTGCTCCTGGCTGTTTCTGGCAGGGAGAATGTCAGGGGGTGGGCAGGATTCCTTGTGGACTTTGAACAGAGATTTTTCCAGCATTACTCAGAATCTTATCACACTGAACAGGGCATGGAGAATGTTTTAGCCAATGCTGTGTGACTGAAGATGTGCCTCTTCGCTTCTGAAACAGTCCAACAAAGAAGGGACCGCTCTTCCCTAAAACATCTAGTGCCCCTTACATACATTAAAGAACTCGTATTTTATGGTTAGAATGTGGTACACATGTCAGACATACTATAAGAAACAAGTAAAAGATGGTATTAATTTTAACCTTAGAAATAGAATTTGTATTACCTCAGTATTAACAGCTTCCATTGGTCTTTTCTTGATTTCTCCTATGTCCAAGTAACTAGAAGGTTAAAAGAAGAAAAAAAAAAGTAAATGTTGTTTTTACGGGTTTCAAGTCAGTTACATAAAACATAAAATGTTTAAGCATTATTAAAAAATACAGCAGTCATAGGAAATGTATAAAAGCCTGAAGCAGAAATCAGTAGGCCCTAGTGATGTGGGGAAGGTGTTCACACGGCCTCACCAAGCAGAGCGGAAGCAACAAGGGCACTAGAGCGGAGGAAGACCTGCTCTGGTTAGGAAGCATTTCCCCCTTAACAATCGATTATCACTCTGGACTTACTCTCCCTCTCTCCCTCACCTTCCCTCCACCCCCTCTGCTAACCCTAACCCCCCCCTTTCATTATTTTTCCCTTTTTTAGAGACGGGGTTTTATATACTGAAAATTAGGCTTGAACTTACTATGTCATCAAGAGTAACCCTGAATTTCTGATCCTCCTGCTTCTACCTCCCTAGTGCTGGGATTACAGGCTTATGCCACCATATCTGTCTTATGTGGTACTGAGGTTCAAATTCAAGGCATGCAAGTCCTCTACCAAGTGACTCACTCTCTAGCTATTTAATGCAACTCCATTCTGTGAATTCTATGAATCACATTAATTACAAAAATTAGGTAAAAGGAAATAGTGAAAGCCTGGGAAAGACGGACTGGGGCATCAGAGTCAAACCTGGGAAAGGCTGGCTAGGTTTCCCAATGACACTGAAATGCCCAGCCATGAGCGGTGGTCTTGGATCAGTTTACAGACAGTTAACTTCTGAGACTATTATTATCCCGTTTCTTTTCACTACAGATACTAACTAGTGGCTCTTGCCTAAATACAACTTGAAAATTGTTATCTTTGTCAACTTCAGGGAGTAGCCCATCAGTATGATCTAGTTCCAGTTTGAAATGCTTCCCAAACTGTCTTTTAAATAAAGGACACTAAGTAATTATTTTAATATAAAAATATAAATCTAGCTTCTAATCTATAACCACAATTAGAGACTTGACTAACTACTATAGCAGACAAGTTGTCAAAAAAAATTATTCAGAGCCTGCACTCCATCCCTGTGACCTACGTGGTAGGAGAGAACTGACTTCCCAAAGGAGCCCTCACACTGCAACATGCACACACCTACATACACATGCATCAGACAATAATGACTAATGCAATAAATTGTTACAAGTTAGATATTAGAATTAACTTTGACTATTGAACTGGGTTCACCATCGGCTGATGTTGTTCAGGTTTTTTTATTTGGACAGAATATTAATTGATACGGAACTTCAACTACATTTCCCTATGCAAATGATTATGTGAGGCAGTATGAACAACTGATCTCATCAATGAAATGGGTGAATTTCCTGGATGTACTTCTATCAAGACAACAAAATATTCTGTTGCATACCAGAGAATGTCTCCTGATTTATATTCTAAATGTCTCAGACCTAATAGGTTAATGGAGGTGAGACAATTCCAAAAATGTCTGAGAAAAGTTTTAGATGTATGTGCACGTGCACTTATAAGTGTGTGTCTGGTCATGCCCATGTGGCAACTCACATGTGGAGGACAGAGAACAGTTCTGCAGAATAGGTGCTCTCCTTCCACCTTTATTATTACAGGATTCGGGGGTCAAACTTAGGTCATTAGGTCATTGCAACACAAGCACCTTTAACCCCTGATCCATCTCATTGGCCCCAAGAAAAGTTTTGTGAAAATTACTCTCTAAAAGTGCTGTGCTGGAAAGAGTTAAATCCCACCTGAATCTTAGAGACAGTGTCAAAAATATTAGAAACATCTAAGTAAAAAATGACATTCCAGCAGGAAGTTGATCATCTCTTTTTGACGAGAATTTTGCTGTCTTCTACATTATGTTACTCAAAGTGAAAACCCATGAATGATTCTCGGCACTCTTCAGACTCTCTTCTGTTCTTTCAGTTGTTTTGGTTGTGGTACAAGCATACAATGCTAAGCTTCAAACATCTAGCACTTAAATCAGTAGTGTCTATTCCTACAAGCATAGGTAGATACTGAGTGCTACTTGAACACCAGTGCCAGCATGGAAAACTAATGATGGGGACTTCGGTAACAAACTCGTGTGTTCTCATGTGGGAATTAAAAGCAAAACTTAACACTGCAGACTCACTACACACACATAAAAAGTGGTTTGAAAAGCCAGTTCTGTTTGTCTGAAAGCTGTAGCTTTTCATCCTGAATCAGCAGTACCACACCAGCAAAGATGGACATGAGTGATACAGTCTACAAGTTTCGAATGTTCAAAATCTGAACCAGATTTCCATCCTCGTGAAATTATTCTGTCTCTAAGTGGATTGCTTTCACTGTATTTTGCTGTTGTTGTTTGAGATGGGAGCTCCCACCGCCTAGTCTGACTTTGAACTTACTCTGCCTAGGCTGCTCTTAAACTGTGCTGTTCCTCCTGTTTCTATCTCACAAGTGCTAGGATTTCATGTACTACTACACATAGCTATGGAAATACTATAATTTAAAATATAAACATAATACAAGATATTGGCCATAGAGATGCCTTATATTCATAAAATACAGAGGCATCTACAAAATGTATTCATAGCCATAGCTTTTACCTTTTTATTTTTTAACACAGGGTCTCGTGTGTCTAAGGCTGGCCTAGTAGCACATAAAACCAGGTTTGGTGACACTGGAGAGATAGAGGCAGGAGGATTATAAGGCTCAGACTGACCTTGAACTTGCTCTGTAGCAGCAGATGACCACGACCTTATGATCTTCCTGCCTCTGCCTCTTAAAAGATCAGGTTACAGATGTGCACCATTCCTGGTTCTGTGGTTCTGGGGCTCAAGGACTGCGCGTGCTCCACAGCACTCCCCCACCACTGGTTGGATGACCCCTAACAGCTGCCCACATGCCCAGCTGTAAGGAGCAGCAAAGCCTAAGTACTCTGGGTGAACTTCTGAGTTTTTGGATGCTGAGGGAGGAAGGTGGGAGTTCAAGGTCAACCTTGGATTCATATTCATATGGGGGTGAAGACAAGACTGAATTACATGAGACCTTCTCAAAGAAACAAAACAAAAATAATTCTAAATTTCCTTTAGACACAGTGTTTCATTGAGCTCTTTTACCTGGAGTTAGACATATCATGTTTAAGGAAAGTTTCAGAGAAGAAAAAAAAATTTAGATGTACCACTTGTCTCTTGTAAGAAGAGAGCTTCCATTCCCAGAGAGCAGGACCCCTAGAGCTCAGCTTACACATGACACACGAGCAAGGGCACTACTAGAGAACTTCGGGAGCATTCTGGTGAAGATGCTTCCATACAATTAGAAGACAATCATGGGAAATGGATTTATAGCAAATATTTTTTAACTTTTTGTTATCCTGGGACCCAAGATAAATTTAAATTAAAGTATTTTGAAAATATTTTAAAGCTATAGAATATAGGATTATCTATGACTCCACAATTCCTTTGGTAGATGCAGCCAAGAAACAAAAAGTGGCAAACAAATGTTCACAGAAACATTCTTCATAATAGCCCCAAAGTGAACAACCCAAATGCCCATCAACTGCTTAATGAATGGAGAGGAATCATTAGCTCCATACCAGGGAAACTACTCAACGGTAGGGTGGCACTGATCCATGCTACAGTGTGCACGGACCTTGAAAGTGGTACAGTGCAAACAGAACAGACACAAAGTTCACCTGTTGTACTGTTCTATCCCATAGATACAAGAAATAGATCCGTGGTTTGCTCATGCCTGAAGGAAGAGGAAGTTCAGAGGTGTCTGTTTCTTCAGGAGAGTGATCGAATTACTGTAAAATGGATTTGTAGTGATGGTTCACAACTCTAGAAACCGTGGAAATCGCTGGATTCACCAAAATATATGCCAGGAAAGCCTTAAAACACTCACGGAATGTGAGAATTTACTATCCTGTCCACTCCTGACAACCCTCACCTCCCACATAAACTTAAGTACTTTTCTTACTGTTCCTATCTCCTTATGATTTGCATTGAAATTAGCGATGTGCAGGTGGGAAGTCCTCAAAGATGAGTCAAGTCTGTCCATTTAAGTTCACTCTGAAGACCTTAAACTCTGTTGCTAATTCACAGAAAAAGACCTTGGGGGAGTTCCTTATCCAGGAAGTGGCTTGCAGTCCTAGCCAGAGACCTGTACAGACACAAATGCTTTCCCAAGCATTCTGTGACTAGCACAAACACCTAGGATACAGGAAGAGGGCACAGCACCTGGCTGTGTGCATTCTGCTCGCAATGAAGGAATTCAAACAATGAAGAGGGAAATCACAACAGAGCATCCAGCCCTTGGAACTAACTCGTAAGAAATCTTTCTTTTTTTCCTTTTAAGTTTAGGGGGTAGACTTTAATAAAAAATAAAATAAGCCTGTAACCTCACACTTGGGAGGCTGGGGCAGGAGGAGAGCAGATAGTTCAAGACACCCTGATGGACACAGTGAATTTCCGTCTAGAGCTACAGAGATGCTGTCTCAGGATAACGAAATTATGATGTTGCTTCTACATTGTTTAGCCAATCATTTAAAATCTCACCTACTGCTACTGGAACTAAATTCCTTCTCCAGTTTCGATTCTACCAGCAACTGCCAGCTCCTTGCTAGACTCACCGGAGGTAGCCTATCAACCACGCCCCAAGGCGCAGAGGCGCTCTACTCACTTGAGTTTCTTGAAGGCTTCCTGGCCCCCGGCCACGTAGTTGCCCCCGCTTTCAATCTGGTCCAGTTTCCGGATGCGGTGGCCCGTCCTCGGGGTGTAGATGTTCCTAACTGCCCCAAAGGGCGCCTGCACACCACCCGTCACTTCCTTGAGGAAGACGTCGAAGCTAGACACCTTCTTCTCATGAATGACGACACGGCGCCCGGCGAAGAAGGGGTCCCCATTGCGGTACACCAGGACACTCTTCACCACTGGCTGCGACAGGTGGCTGGACTTGGCGCTGGGGCCGTTCATCTTCACCGCTGGATGCCGGACCTGCTAGCACTCCACAGGCCTGCAACACCAGTTCGTGGACCGCCTCCTGCAGGGACGAGGAAAAGTCACTCACAGGTGAAGAAGAGCCAGCCGTGCGGAGCCAGCCCCGGCAGGTAGCAGTTCAAGTAAGGCGCGGCGCGGATGGCCAATCAGCGCTCGCAGGCTCGCACACCTGTCTCTCCCGCCCCGCAGCACCCAGGTATGCTGTCTGGGAACCCGTGCCGCCCAGGCTTTAAACCCCTGCGCGAGCTGGGACAGGAGGGACAGTGGCGGACGCGCGCACACACGCACACGCACTCAGGCGCACATTAATAACATGGCGAGATTCAGTCCCTGTCACACATCTGTGTTGTTTCTCCCAACCGCTTCAGTTTTTTTCTTTCCTGTGCCTTACATTCTAATACCACCAGCTCATTCGCCCTCCTCCGCCCAATAAAGTCATTAAGATCCTGGTTAAGGTTGCCGGGATTTTCCTTTGAGGAAAATAAACTACTTAAAAATGCACTGAGAAGTCGGACGGAGTGGCGCACATCTGTCATCCTAGAATTAGTGCGACTAGAACTAGAGTATTGCTTGGACTACCTAGAAAGTTTTAAATCAGCCTCAGTTATAGCCAGACTAAATTAATATCAATAAATTAAATAATCTGCACAGATAGAAGCAGAGGCGACGCCCGAGTCCGAAACCCCAGGACTCTGGTCTGGCCAGCGCCGCCCAGTGGTGAGGTTCCGGTGGGCCCTTCGCAGTGGTACCTACCGACACTCGCGGGAAGAGGGGGAGGGACTGGGGGAGGGGCGCAGTTGGGGGCGGGGCGGGTTGCTGGCGCTGGGGCCCGAACCGCTGTGAACCCTAGCCCTCCGCGCGTCCCTAGCACCGGTCCTCCCGCCACCGTTAGTGTCTTCTGAGGGCCTGCCAGGTCCACCGGGAGCCCAGTTTGTTTTTTCTCGCCGTTTCCATAGCAACTGTAGCCTCGTGCGGAGAGTTAGCCTATGAAATAGGTCTGAGCGCGCTTGCCTCCCTTGAGCTTCTCTAGCTGCCTCTGGTATCAAAGTCATAAGGGGGTTGGGAATGAAATTGCCATGCCAGTGCTGTGCCAGTGTAGTTCTTGGAAACCGACACACAGCTAGGGAAATGATACCCTACAGTATTTTCAGTGTCTACTATGTGACGAAGATTAAAGAGGGTATTTACAAGAAGACTTGCTCTGCCCATGAGCTTGCCTCCACGTTGATTGTGTAAATTATTAGATCAGACTGTGGGATCCATATGGAGTTGAGATTTTAATCAAGAATTTTGGAAAAACCGCAGGTGACAGAGTCCACCTGTAATCTCAGCATTCGGAGGACTGAAGGCAAGAAGATTAGCCACAAGTTTCAGGACAGCCTGGAACAGAGGAAGACTGTAGGGTAAAAGGGTCAGCCAACAAAACACACTCCGGGTATGAATTCAGAGCCAGTGAAAGGAAATACACAGTGGTCCTGAAATCGGAGCCAATGGGATAAGAAGGCCTGGAGAAAGAAACACACTTTGGTCCTGAAACCAGAGCCAAAGAAACACACTCTGCCCCTGACCCCTTAGCAGAAAACCAACCAATCCCTGACCACAAAATCCAGTCAATCTCTTAGTTTCTCCAAACTCAGGGATTGAAATCCAACCAATTCCCATCCTGAAAATCTTCACTCCCCTGGAAAAACTCGGCCCCTATGAAGCCCTATATAAGCCCTGTACCTGTTCAGTTGGGAGCTGCTTTTTTCCACCCTGGCAGAGATAGCCACTCTCCCGGAGTCCTCCCTCCCAATAAATGTCTTACACGAGGTTTGCGTGAGACCTTCTTTCCATAGAACAGAGCGGGCGGAGCAGTGACAACTTTCAGAGAAGAGCAGAACTGTGAGGCTTTTGTGGGGGAACCTTCCCCTACCAGAGCAGAGGTGTTACTTTGGGGAAACTTCCCCTGGAGCAGGGCTGTAAGGTGCTACACTTAAAGGTGACTTTGTGGTATTCCTTGGCTTCCTGCAGTCAGGATTCTTTTTCATCCAAGCTGCAACGCTTACAAAAAACCTATCCCAAAAAACTAAGTAAGCAAACAAGAGTGCTGACACACGCCTTTAACCCCGACACTAGAAGCAGAAGCAGGCAGATCTCTGAATTCAAAGCAGCCAGTTACATAGCCAGTTTCAGATCGACTGGGGCTACATAGTGAGACCCTATTTTCAAATCTCAGTACAGCTACTTTGTACTGTCCAGTTTGGGGGACAAACAAAAACACAGATATCTATTTCTGCTGAAATGAACCAAACCACTGCTCCCCTTATTCCTGCTAAGTATGTCTGAATTTCTAAAGCGGGCACTCCCTTTTGAATGGGAAATGTCCCCATAGGCCCGTGTATTTGAAGACTTAGTCCCCAGTCAGTAGATTATTTGGGGAGAGTGTGGAACCCCTTAAGAGGTAAAGTATCACTTGAGGAAAAAGGTCACTAGGGGCGAGTCTTGAGTTTTGGTCCACATAGCTGTGAGCAAGCAGCCACAATCAGCTCCTGCCACCACCATGCAACCACATGCCACTGTGTTCCCTAGCATGATGAATGCTGCCAGAGTACCTTCCACTCCTTCAGTCAATAGTCGCTGAAATACGAGCCCACGGTGCTGCGGGAGCATCTTCCTCTCCTTCAGCCAATAGCTGCTGAAATACCAGCCCACTGGGGTGTGGTATATTTCTCTTTAAAAAAGAGCGGCAAGCCTTGGCTTGGCCTCTTGGTTCCGGGGCTTGGTTCTGGCTCCTGCTAAAGCGACTAGGCTCCTTTCCTGATGGTTTGTGTATATGTAAGTTTTACCCCCCAAAATAAATACCCCTTTAAAGCCTAACTGGTGTGGGATTGATTCGCCATTAGATGAACTGTAGCCCCCCCCCAAATGGTGAGCCAAAATCAATCTCTTCTTATTTCATTTGTTTCCTGTTGGGTGTTTGGTCACATAGATGAGAAAAAATTGTCAATAACAGTGGGTGTTCTTAGTTCATCATATCTGAGTAAAAGAAATTTTAAAAACAGTACATTAAATCTTTAACACTGTACCAAGCATTGCATTTGGCACTTTACATACATTATCTAATTTAATGTTCACAAATAATCGTCAGACGTGGACATGGATGTTCAGAGAAACTGAGGAAATTTACCTGAAGTAACTTACACACAAGGCTTCAAACTTGGTCTGCCCTGTTTCTCCCTAACCATGGTGATATAACAATAGGCAACATGAACATGTGAGGATGGCAATTGGAACAGAACGACTGTGGTTTCATTTAGGTTTAGGTTTTGTGTTTTTATGTTTTGTTTTGTTTTTTGAGAGGATCTCATATGGCTCAGGCTAGCCTCAAACTTGCTATGCAGCAGAGGTTCATCTTGAGCCTTTGCTCCTCCTGTCTCTATCTGCTGAATACTGGAATTACAGACATGCCCTGCTATGCATGGGTGCTGGGGATGAAACCTGAGATCTTCATATTTGCTAGGTAAGCACTCTACAAACTAAGCTATATCCACAGCCACAGAAACATTTTAACTAAATTACAATGATGCCTTGAAAACTGGCAGCTTTCAAAGGGCCGGGGAGAATAGAATAATACACAAAGAAGAGAAGAGTGAAACTTTGGTTCTAGGAATAAACAGGTGGAGGGTCTGTGGGAAAAGTAGTTATGAAAAGTCAGCTAAGCACTCAGACCTCCCAGTGTAAATCTCCCTGATGCCCACACCAGCCCCCCCCCCCAGAATGAAAGCATGCTCCCTGCTAAAACTTAAGAGCTTCCAGAAGGCAGGCACAGCGCACTAAAGGAAGCCCACGATCCTTCTGGGTGTGAGACACTTGTCACCAGTCTGTAAAGCCTCCCACATCCGTATTCCATGATTTTCATGATGGTATCTCCAGCCAGGATTTATCAACTGAACATGAAGCAGTAAGATAAAAGCTTACTTAACTTTACGGCTCCCTGAACTGAACAGAAAGGGAAACAGGAGAAAAGTCACCCGAGTACTGGTAGTTCCCTTTCTCTGTATCCTGCTCTGTGGAGCTGTGGGAGCCAGGAGCTGCTGCTACATGCTCCCGCCACCTTGGGTCCACCTGCCACTATGTCTTGCCTGCCATGACGGGCTCTAGTCTCTCAGAGGGCAAAATAAAACTCTCGTCCATGAAGTTGCTTATCAGGTATTGGGTCAAAGCAATGAGAAAGCACCACATGTTTTCTTAAAACATCCTCTTTTCCTTTGTTCCCTTTCTCTACAAGTGGACTCCACCTACTCATTTGCTCAAAGCTAAAACATGAACATCTCTCCTACTTATATATTTAATGACCTCAGAAAAACAGCCAAGTGCAACACAAAATGAAAGTTCATGTGTCTGCAGTCTCTCTTCCTGCTCCTTTCATTTGCTGAATTGGTACTGAAATCCTTCTGTGATGCACAACCCTAACAGTGAGCAAATGAAACACGCTTTAAGAAGCCAGAAAGGTCAGCTAAACCCTTATTATAAAGGAGTAAAGTACAAGTAGAAGTTGCTACTTCAGAAAGATGAAGGGATTGTGAGACCACACATAGAAAAGCGGGGAAGACTCCTTTTTAGTATCTCTTAAGAGTGTAAAAGGCAATAAAGATGAACAAGATGGTCCAAAAGGATATTTAAGATTTAATGCTCACTGGCAGTGGTACCAGAATCTGGACACCTCCTCAAGTGTTTTTCTGTTGTATTTTCCTGCTGACACAATGCAACCAAACCTACAGCATACATTTATGAATGTTCTTCAGGCATCAAGATTTACCAATCCCACACCTTAAGTATTTCTTAAATTCCCTTATTCCATCCCTTTCCTAGTTACCGAAAGCAGGGCAGCATCCCTTAGAAACTATGTCCAGTTCCATTCTCCACAACCGGCCAGCCTGAAAGACTGTTAAAAACAAATGTATTCCTTTCCTTTTTCAGTTTAAAATTCTGCTGCCGATGCCAGGTGGCTCAGCCTTTAATCCCAGTGCTTGGGAGGCAGAGGCAGTGAACTGCTGTGAG